TGTTTGCTTTCCAAACGATTGGACACGCCGCACCGTTTTGATATTATGGCATTTTATTAACCGGTAGTGTTGAAACACACGTGTATCGGTTAATTTCAAGTCTACGGTGATTCTAATTTTCTCTGATTGAGACCGTTTTTGTTAGCCGATATTTTCAAATGTCTATTGTTAGTTTGGCAATTCAATTTGTAATTCTGATCGGAACTCGTGTATCGTCAGAGATTCAAATCTAATAATAGGCGAGCTGCTTCTATATGTTGCCGAAATGCATCAACAGGTCGGTATGCCGAGAAGTTTCGGCTAACATTAGTTAAGAATTTGATCTTTGAATAGATTGAATACCAAAATCTATTCTATGCCAAACATGCATGTAATTCTACTTGTATTGTTTTGTATTCCTATCATATATTTAACGTGCGTCACAATGCAAATTTGAATAAAACCACAAATACGTGTTTAATTTAATATTGGTCAAATCTATTACGTCAATGTATTGATAGGTTATCAAAAAAAGAGAAAATACCCAAGTCAAGAAACAATAATGATATCATACGTTTATCTTAAAAAGAATGAGTCACTCAAAAATATTACACATATTTTTTAAAGTGGATATGTGTAAAAAATTCTGCTTGAAAAAAAGATTTTTAAAAATAAAACATGATTCATTTTTTCAAAACTTTTTTCAACAATTTGAAATAAAAGACAGTTACATTTTGAACAAAAAGAATTTAATAGAATCATGACTCGTGGAAATTTATTCCCTGTAAAATCTGTATCTACCCCTCCATAAAAATAAACTTGAATAGGGAGAGCAGCATGAAAAATTCGCTTTGACACCGTTTTAACGGCATCGTTTGTCAACGGTGGCCCTTTTGGACCCCGCATTGGATCGTTTCGGAGCGGAGCTATTCTCACTTGGATAAGTGTGCGTTTTCAATAATCTTATCTTAAACGCGACGCACCAACGAGTTCTGGGTACCCATCTGCAACTGACTCACTGAAAACTCTATCATCACTGATTCTGACATCAGCTGGAAAACAGATAAAGTTTTCCAACTGTTAAACTAATTTTATAATTTATGTTAAAACTCATTAATAAATGTATAATTACATATTTATCACTTCAATTAATTTTTCTTGTCCATCTGGTAGCATAATGAGTTGAAAGTTGTTTCAATATTCGATTTTTCATGGTTATCCTGAATTTGTTCGCTTTTTCAACTGCCTCTAATAATTATCGATTAGTTCTCAATCATAGTTCAATTTAACATGTTGTTTACATAGATCACGAACAGCGACGGCTCTAAAATTTAACCCTAGCGCATCCCATCTGCAACATTATTGCAAGTCGACATCATTCCCTTTCATTTCACAACCAGCTAGTTTCCTCTTAACCTATAATATTGTAATTTTTAGACAAGAATCTAATCTCTACTAGGATCAACGACTCACTTAGTGATTTCACACAAACTTTAAAAGTAATCAAGGGTACGCCAAATATCGAGTTTATTTGGACCTTTATTGCCCAATTGGTTTCGAGGTTAACGACAGTTTTACACTCTGAAAAGGTGAGGATTGTTCCAAGTTCAACTACTGATCCCTAAAAGGTTATTTCTCGAGTCTGAATGCTCCTACACTTTCGTTAAAGAGGTCGAATGTCGTCAATAAGATCCCAGGTGAAGATTTTACAGTCGATTATGTAGACACTCTTTAGAGTATCTCACTACACTACAATTAAATAATACTAAACTAACATAAAACCTAGAGCAAGAAACTAGAGCTGTTTCTAATTCTAGTCCACTGTTAGTTCTAGTGATAATTTGTTCAATTTTTAGTTCAAATAGTTCTTAATACTTTTCCAAACTGTTAAATCCTGGATGTGCTTTTAGCTCCAATAATTGTTGCATTATAAACAAATTGTCCGAACAAGATTTGCCCAGGATGAATCCATTTTAGGCCTACCTTATTTTGCCACTTATGCCCTCCCTCAACTTCTTTTGCATTCTTCCAAACAAACTAAAGATTCTATTTCTTGGGTGTATCTCCTGTTGTTATTTTAAGCTTCCCTGATGGAACAAGCTTTGGCCTGACAACATAGAAATTGGAGGAAGGAATGAAAATAAAGCAGAAATGGTTGAATATGTAAAAAAAGGTACCAAAACTTTGCTAGTTAGTTCCTCACTTTCAAATTGTGACGACTCTGATGCTGAAAAATTATCTCTATGAAATATTGATGACAACATATTGTTCATAGTGAAACTAAAGAGGTCTTGGCACGAAATAAGCCCAGAATGTAATGAAGCCTAATTTTGTTGTGATTCACAACAAAAATGAACTCTCTTAACACGTGTAAGCTATTTCGTCTTAACGAGGTTTTACTGTTTATGAATAGATCGATTTCTTAAACAATGAGGCTAAGATGTATATTTATGTTTTTGTGGCAAGCATAGAAACGCAATTATAGATGTTATATCCCAGGACGGTAGAGTCTAAAATCTAAAAGGACAGCTATATCCTTTGTTCTTGTGTTATCCAGAAAATGATGTCAATATCGGTGTTTGTTGTATACTTTTATTGGACTAAAACTAGAACTAACACTAGACGTAGAACAAAAAATGTTACGGTTTATCCGAACGTCTCTCAAGACGGCTAAATTCGAATGCTAGTTCTAGTTCTAATTTTAGATTTTAGAATGCTAGTTCTAGTTTTTCTAGTAACAGTGCTAGTGTTAAACTAGAACCAACACTAGATCTGCCGCACGTCTCTCAAGACGGCTAAATCCGAATGATTCTAGTTCTAGGTCTTGTGTCAGTTTTAGTGGAAAATTGGAACTAACATTAGACCGAGAACTAGAAACATTCGGATTTAGCCGCACGTCTCTCAAGACGGCTAAACCCGAATGATTTTAGTTCTAGGTCTTGTGTTAGTTCTAGTGATAGCGCTAGTGTAAATCTTGAACTAACACTAGACCTAGAACTAGAAAATATCGGGTTTAGCCGTGCGTCTTCAGAGTTCTTCTAGTTTTACACTATCACTAGAACTAACACAAGACCTAGAATTAGAATTATTCGGGTTTAGCCATCTTGAGAGATGTGCGGCTAAATCCGAATGTTCCTAGTTCTAGGTGTAGTGTTAGTTCTAGTTTTACACTAGCACTATCACTAGAACTAACACAAGACCTAGAATTAGAATCATTCGGGTTTAGCCGTCTTGAGAGACGTGCGGCTAAATCCGAATGTTTCTAGTTCTAGGTCTAGTGTTAGTTCTAGTTTTACACTAGCACTATCACTAGAACTAACACAAGACCTAGAACTAGAATCATTCGGGTTTAGCCGTCTTGAGAGACGTGCGGCTAAATCCGAATGTTTCTAGTTCTAGGTCTAGTGTTAGTTCTAGTTTTACACTAGCACTATCACTAGAACTAACACAAGACCTAGAACTAGAATCATTCGGGTTTAGCCGTCTTGAGAGACGTGCGGCTAAATCCGAATGTTTCTAGTTCTAGGTCTAGTGTTAGTTCTAGTTTTACACTAGCACTATCACTAGAACTAACACAAGACCTAGAACTAGAATCATTCGGGTTTAGCCGTCTTGAGAGACGTGCGGCTAAATCCGAATGTTTCTAGTTCTAGGTCTAGTGTTAGTTCTAGTTTTACACTAGCACTATCACTAGAACTAACACAAGACCTAGAACTAGAATCATTCGGGTTTAGCCGTCTTGAGAGACGTGCGGCTAAATCCGAATGTTTCTAGTTCTAGGTCTAGTGTTAGTTCTAGTTTTACACTAGCACTATCACTAGAACTAACACAAGACCTAGAACTAGAATCATTCGGGTTTAGCCGTCTTGAGAGACGTGCGGCTAAACCCGAATGTTTCTAGTTCTAGGTCTAGTGTTAGTTCTAGTTTTACACTAGCACTATCACTAGAACTAACACAAGACCTAGAATTAGAATCATTCGGGTTTAGCCATCTTGAGAGATGTGCGGCTAAATCCGAATGTTTCTAGTTCTAGGTCTAGTGTTAGTTCTAGTTTTACACTAGCACTATCACTAGAACTAACAGAAGACCTAGTACTAGAATCATTCGGGTTTAGCCGTCTTGAGAGAGCTAAATTGTTGTATATTTTTATTGAACTAAAACTAGAACTAACTGTAGACCTAAAACTACAAAGTTCCAAATGTATGTAGGTACTAATAAGCTTTCAAGTAGTTTAAATATCTAAGAATTGTTTGGAGTTGAAATAAGACCTTTTTATACTTCTTTATTTCATTCTTAACTGCTACTTTGTATATTTTATTTTATTAATTAAATTAATATGATTATTAATTAGAAAATTCTTACTAAAATAACAAGTAAAATTTGTCAAAAAATAATTCTAGTTTACTGTTAGTTCTAGTGATAATTCTAGTTTTAGTTCAAATAGTTGTTAACACTTCTACAATCTAGATGTGATGATTAGTTTCTCCAATAATTGTTGCATTATAAACAAGATTTGCCCAGGATGAATCCAGTTTGGCCCTCCCTAAACTTCTTTTGCATTCTTCCAAACAAACTAAAGATTCTCTTTCTTAGTTTTTCCATGGTTTTCTCCCTGGAAATTTATAGTCTTACTTTCAGGTTGTATCTCCTTTTATTATGTTAAGCTTCCCTGATGGAACAAGCTTTGGCCTGACAACATAGAAATTGGAGGAAGGAATGAAAATAAAGCAGAAACGCTTGAATATGTAAAAAAAGGTGCCAAAACTTTGCTAGTTAATTCCTCACTTTCAAATATGTTCAAATATGACGACTCTGATGCTGAAAAATGATCTCTATGAAATATTGATGACAACATATTGTTTAGAGTGAAGCTATGAAATAAGCTCGGAATGTAATGAAGCCCAATTTTGTTAAACTCCAAGAATATGAGTTGTCGAAAGTTCAATAGTCGCAATTTTTTTTGCGATAAATTAACGTTTTTTATGTCTTACTTATCCCATACAAAAAAAAAATGTGGCGATATAACTTTTTGTTCTTGTTATTTACTACTTCAAAATTTGTTTACAAATCGTGTTTTTACAAACACGGGCTTTAGCGAAATGATTGATCGCTAGCAACATGTGCAAGACGATTTAGTTTGAAATTATAGTACAACACGTTACTCTAGGGGTTAAAGTTTCCGTTTTGACAATGATTAATAGGTACAAACATTATTTTTTAAAATTATAATTATGATGGATATCCCTTTAAACAAAAAGTATCCGAACATAAAGTGTTGTTCGAAACTCTCGCATCCACATCCCAAGAACCTTTTACCCAACAACTCGTTAATTTAACACTGCCTAAAGTAACCGCAAACATTTTATCCCCGCAATCAGTGTAAATCAAGAGAATAGCCACAGAAAGGAATTGGTTTCGGCTATAAAATTCCAAGAAAATTCAACAGTTCCACAATAAAGTGTTAACGAACGATAAAAATACACCGTACTTATAAATCAAAACGTATTTTGTAACATTATATCTTCCTTTACTTAAAACTATTTTAAAACTCATCTGCGTCATCAAAATCCGCTCATAAACGAGTAATTACTCATCAAAACTCACGTAGAAAGGAGGTCATGCTATGATGTAAATGGCTTTGTGTACAGTAGTATGATTGTTTTGTGGTTTTTAAATCGAATTCACACTCTTCATATAGAAATTCCCTGTTCAAGTTGTTTAAGAAATCATGAGATAAGGATAAAGAAAAACAAGCGGAAACCGCATTTGGTGATTTATGATTTAAAAGGACGTGAAAATCTGTTTCCTCATTAGTATTGAACGAACCTTGTCTTTGAGAAGTATCATAAGAAATAATGTTTGGAGTAAGAATCTTTTTGGTGATGCTGGTGTTATTTTACGTCGTGTTTTTAATGGATGAGGTGGAAGGAATATTTCCTTTGTACCCTCGTTGCCCTAAAGGACAAAGAAGGATTAAAAAACTGTGCCGAGAAGTGTTTTAAACAATTAATTACGAATAAGTAAGTAAAAAAACAAATATTATTAAGAACACATTGTAAATAATATTTTTTTTCAATTTCTTTTAGGTATGTTAATCAGATTTTGTAATTAACGATTAATTATAATATATTTGTTTATTTAAATCTACTATTTTCTTTTTTTTTTATTCCAAATAACTTATTGTTTTAATCACAGAGCAGACACCAAAACGTAATCAAACTGATCAATGTTAATTATGTACGCTTGAAAGCTCGACCTAACGAACAAAAAGCTTTCCCATCATCGGTCACGTACGCCAATGGTCACGCAAAATGGGAATCAAAGCGATAAATTCCGTAATTTAGAATGGTACACGAAAATCATTTCCTATAATTTAACGATTTTTTACTATTGCTTCATTTAACTATATTATAAAGCACAGAGAGATCAAATTAATAATGAGGTTAATTTAATTTAAAACACGTTGCACAATTTTGCGAAAAGTTAAATGACTAAACTTTCAAGAGTTGGCATTAACAACTTTTCAAAACTTTTTGAGCTAATCTGCTTTATTAGTACTTTAAAGGCGCTACCTTCAATTTTAACTCTATTTTAATTTAGTAAATTTAGTAAAAATTAAAAAAACGACAGGAACATGTTTTATTTTCATTTAACAGGTTGAGTGCCACAAGAGTCCAACGTGGTCTCGCATATACTTTTGACTTTCTAGCCAGGTGAGACCAATGTGGCCTCGCATGTACCCATACTTGATTTGGCTGTGTAGTTCCGCAACGGTCTCTCACTGCAATATGAAATCAATGGAGTTCGAAACTGCGTGGCCTGGCGGTCCAGAGACAAGTTTTGGCCTGTGGAGATGAGAAACCAAAGCGGTGCTACGTGGCCAGGAAAGATAAAGTAACCCACATTTGTATTATTTTTTGTTTTTTACTTAGACATACATTTCATTAGGAATTTTATTTATTGACACATAATAAACATACAAGAAAAACAAAGAACATTTTATAAATGAAATAAATGGAAATTATTGAACTAATTACAAAAAAAAAAATAGTCAATTCACAACTAGGCAAATTATTTCTTCACCTCGTGGCTTTCAAAAAAACATTCAAGGCAATAATGTTTGTCACAAGCCTCGCATTTCAACATACTTTGCGGAGTTTTTTTGAGTGCTTCTTTTCTGCCCATTTCTTGACTATGTTGTGAGTAACAGACCACACAGCGCCTTCTTAGTTTTCTACCGAGGTTGACTAGCTTGTGGTCGTTTGTCGTAACCGTCTGTTCATGTTCTTCAAGTTGCAGAAGACCAAATATTACTGATTCTCTGAATTTTGTTATAGACATGGGCTCATTGGCGATGTCTCTATAAGCGATGTAAGCATTGATGAAAGCAGTGCCAGTCAAAAGTTCAATGGCAAGTTTTTTATACCACTTCAATGTTTTACGTAGTGAGGAATTGTAACTTTTTTTTTGATCGGCGATATCAATGAAGGCTTTGAACTTGTTGTATTCGATAACATTTTTTGGTTTGCAGACTTCACCTCGTCTTCTCTGCACGGTCACCATTTCATCGGTATATTTCGTGCTCAATGTCAGCACGTCTCTCTTATCCTTCCATTTTTGAACTACTATTCCTGAATTGCTTTCTTCAGCGATGGTTTCCCCAAGTTTGAGTTTTTTCGTTATAACATTCTTGGGATTGAATTTTCTGTTTGTTCGTAACGTTCCAATCAAATGAGTTTCACGGCGTAGTAGTTCGTGAGCAAGAGTTACTGAGGTGTAGTAGTTATCAGTGCAAAGAGTTCTCCCTTTATGAAGTAAATCTTTCATCAAGTTCAAAACAACGTTAGTTGGAACGCCACCTCCCTCTGTCTGCTCCTTACCGCAGTATATTTTGAAGTCGTAGGTGTAACCGCTCTCTAAGCACAACTTGAATACCTTTATGCCAAATTTGTGTCTTTTATTGGCAATGTATTGTTTGAACTTGAGCCGTCCCTGGAATGGCACCAATGTTTCGTCGATGCACACATATTCTCCTGGAACGTATATTCGTTGGAAGACTTCTTTGAGTTTCAGAACAAGTGGTGTAAGTTTCTGAAGCCTATCTTCGGTTACTTCAGAATTATCGCTGAAGTGTAGCATCTTAGATAGCAACTGAAAACGGTTTCGGGACATTACGCCTGTGATGAAGTTCTTATATATAGGGCTCTTGGACCAATAAGCTTGAAGCGTTGGGAACTGACAGAGCCCCATCCATAAAACAATACCCAGGAATTTTTTCATTTCAGGTACAGTTGTATCATGCCAAGAGGTTATCCGAGCCCGTCGAAGTTGATTCTTTGCAAGACATTGTGCTGCATACCTATTCGTTTCCACGACCTTTTCGAAAAATAACAATAAAGTAACAAGAAAAAACTGCAGCATACAATTAGTTACCATCAACTCTAAGATGTCATCATTCACAAATAGGCTATAAAATTCACAAGGAGTCTTGTCATGGAAATTTTCATGAATTTGTGGATCAAATCCCACGGTATTTGCTTCAGAGAACATAATTTGACGCAAGTTGTTGCCGGTTACAGGACCCCAAGTGATGTTTGCGTTTTGCGTAGCGGCATCAGTGGTTGACGGTAAAAGAGTTTCATCGGAATCCGAGTCAGAGTCTTGAGTCATATTTGCAATTACAGTTTCAATAACGTCAGCAACATGTTGCGCCTCAGTTGAAACATTACTTGAAGTTTTCGCACCCGTTGCACTTGTCGACGGTTCGTTACCTGTAATTGGGTGTTTTTGATGTTTTTCTCCATTCTTCGGGGGATGTTTCTTGTGCCTTTTCTTACGTAATTTGGAAGATGTCCTCTTCGATGATGATTCAGAATCTACTGACGACTCACATTGATATTCATCAGAAAGATAGACGTCTCCAAACAGTGATTCTTCATCTTGACTGCTGTAGTGTTCATCTTCATCAGACAGCACCTCCTGCCATAACTTCGTCAATCTCTTTTGTTCTTCCTCGTACGAGTACATGGTGTAATTCTTGCTGCACTACGAGAAGAACTGAGACGATCGCAAGCTTACTACACTCCCACTCTCTTACCGGACCGTTCGTCAAGACATTTTGTCGGGCGTGCCGCGACAAGTTTCAACATGCAGGGATATGCGTAGCGTAGTGACACATTGGTCTCTCTCGGCCGTTTCAACAAAATGGTCAAATATGCGGCCGCGTGAGACCAATGTGGTCTCCAAAAATGAAATGCCGTTTTCGATATTCCAAAAACATTTGGCGTATCAAAATACATGTTTTCATCAATAAAACTTTTATATCTAACTTTTCAGACAAAAAAAAGTGCCGGCCCATAGGACCAAAATTTTTCAATACATGGTGGCACTCAACCTGTTAAAAATATACAGGTGTCCCGTTAAGCGTACGGAGCGGCTGTATCTCTAGAACGGTAAGACCTTATATAGTATATGGATAATACCGCATCGCTTTTGTTTTGCGATATTTCTCATATCTGTCATAATAAGGGAAGGGGAGGCCAATGCGTTTTCATATGTTTACATTTTAATATCTCCCAGACCATTCAACCGATTTGAATATTTTCGGTATTGTTTGAAAGAGCATTTTATGCTCTTTTTAAAGATATTTTCAGTAAGACCGTTTGTTTTAAAACAAATGAGCTAGAGGACGTTATCTGCAGCGATTACATATCTTTGTGATTTTTGAAGAAAAGTTAAATGGAACGATACTATTTACTTCACAGACCCTTAGTCACCTTCAAATTTGCTAAATTTTAGTGAAAACCGCATCTCGATATCGCCACCCGTTCTCGAGTTATAGAAGAAAATGTTAAAAACTCGAGTGCCATCAATCGGATCCAGTTACCTCATCGAGANTGAAAATATCTTTTAAAAGAGCATGAAATGCTCTTTCAAACAAGACCAAAAATATTCAAATCGGTTGAATGGTCCAGGAGATATTAAAATGTAAACATTTGAAAACGCATTGGCCTCCCCCTCCCTTATTATGACAGATATGAGAAATATCGCAAAACAAAAGCGATGCGGTATTATCCAAGCTACTAAATGATGTTGTCAAAGTTATAGCTCATCGTCTAACTTTCTGAGATAGAGGGAATTTTATGTTTCTCTATGGCAGTTACGCCCCCTAGCGGTCGAATTACGACCTTCAAAATAATTTCCAGCTATTTCTCTTGCCCACTTTGCTTATAAGGATTTTTTTCCCAAACCTCTAGGCCTTACCGTTCTAGAGATACAGCCGCTCCGTACGCTTAACGGGACACCCTGAATATTTAACAGTTGAATTGATTGTTATTTCAATGGTAATCCGTTTCGCTTCATTTCCAATCGTTTTATACGTCCTAAAAGTTGATGGGTATTTTAATAGCGCCCCGTATAACCTGGGTTCGTAATTAAGTTCGTTTACAGCCGGCTACCAGAAGTTTTAATCCTACACATTTTGGCGAACCCTGAAGGGGTGCGCTCTCCATCTATCGTAAACGTAGCGGAAAGAGCGATATAACATAGCCAAACCATCAGCCGTTATTCACAACGTGAACTTTACATGATTAATGTGCCCCGGATAAATTCAAAGATCGTTTTAAATTGATAACAAATTTTTTTGCAGATGTGGTAAAATTTCGTTTTAGTTAACCATTCAAAATTAAATTTACATAGAAAACTAAAAATTAATTGGAACACTTAATTTCTAAGAACGTGAAATTCAGCAAATTTTTCATTAAAAAACTTAAAAATCCCAGAACATTGAAGGCAAAAATATTTAAACCTAATACCATCTAACACAGGATGTATAACCAAGCACCACTATTATAAAAAAATCATTATACTTCTTAAAAAATCATACAAATCTTTTTTAAACATGCTTGGTGGCTACTAAAAATTATTTATTCAAAAAGCATATCTACAAAAATCTTTCGAAATTATTAAAGCTTGAGCCTGGATATATAGTACAGCTAAAAATAAACAAATAGTCAAGGTATTTTGCAGTGAGTGAAGGTAACAAAAACTTAAATTTATTATTTCTTACATATTATTGTATCTATATCTGCATAACTTTTCAAGCTTACACAACTGCATAAGTGTGAATTGATATTTCCTATGACGTG